GACAAAATGGGAGGGAAGGAGAGAAGAAGGGAAGAAGGGAAGGAGTCAGAAAGACAGAGAGACATGGATTTGTTGTTCCACTTATTTGTGCATTCAGTGTATGTGCCCTGACCGGAGATCGAATCTGCAACCTTGGCATATTGGAACGACACTCTAACAAACTGAGGGCCACAAATATTGTTTTAATGGAAGACTTTAAGCTTTTAAAACAGCTTGTATTGTCTTGTAATTTGTATACTATATATATTCACCCATTGGCACTATATGATTCAATGATTTTGCAAATTTATAGACTCGATGTAGACAATCACCACCATCCAGTTTTAGAGCATGTCCATCACCCCTAAAAGTTTCCTTGTGCCCATTTACAGTTAATCCCCACCCCGACTCCCAGCACAGAGCAGCCTCTGTTCTGCTCTCCACGGCTATCAATTTGCCTTTTCTTGACATTTCTTCTCTCTCTCTCTCTTTTTTTAAATATATCTTATTGATTTTTTACAGAGGAAGGGAGAGGGAGAATTAGAAGCATCGATCAGCTGCCTCCTGCACACCCCCCACTGGGGATGCGCCAGCAACCAAGGTACATGCCCTTGACCGGGATCGAACCTGGGACTTTTTTTACAGAGGAAGGGAGAGGGAGAATTAGATCAGCTGCCTCCTGCACACCCCCCCACTGGGGATGCGCCAGCAACCAAGGTACATGCCCTTGACCGGGATCGAACCTGGGACCCTTCAGTCTGCAGGCCGATGCTCTATCCACTGAGCCAAACTGGTTAGGGCTTGACATTTCCTATCAATGGGATCGCACAATGCAGTCTGTCGCTTCTGGCTTCTTCCACTTAGTTTGTTTCCAAGGCCCATTCATGCTTTAGCATGTAACAAGACTTCATCAGGTCCCATGTTATTGCTGAATCATACCCCATTGCATGCGTAGAGCACCTTTGATTTACCCATTCTCCAGGTGAAGTCCATGTGGATTGTTTCCAGGGTGGGGTTATTATGAATCAAGCTGCTATGAACATTTGTGTATATATCTTTTTGTGAATATATGTTTTCATTTCTCCTGGGTAGATTCCTAGGAGTGGAATTGCTAGGTTGTATGGTAAATTTATGTTTAATTTTTTTTGTTGTTAATCCTCATCCAATATTTTTCCTGTTGATTTTTAGAGAAAGTGTAAGTGAGGGGGAGAGACAGAGAAACATCAGTGTGAGAGAGATACATTGATTGGTTGCCTCCCACCCAGGCCCCGACTGAGGCCTGGGATCGAACCTGCGACCCAGGCACGTGCCCTTGACTGTAATTGAGCCCGCGACCTTTCAGTCCTTGGGCCTATGCTCTAACCACGGAGAGAACCCGGCTAGAGCTCTGTTTAAATTGTTTATGAAACTGCCAGGCTCTTTTCCAAAACGACAGGCTGTCCCCCAAAATGTATACACACTTTAACAGCCGAGAGCTCAATCTTGAAAATGATATGTATTTTAATACACACCACCTTTATAATTCAAAGTGTGTGTGTGCATTTGGGGGGACACCCTATATTTAGCATTTTATATTCACACCAGTGATGTTCCACTTTCTCCACAACCCTGTCCATCCTTGTTATTACCTGTCTTTTAAAATTGTGACCATTCTGGTAGGTGCACGACGGTATCTCACTGTGGTTTTAATTTGCATTTCCATAAGGACTAATGATGTTGAGCAACTTTGTGAAATATCTGAAACTATAAAGTGAAATCTGCTTGTAAGGATTACTATGTAATGACATAATGGACTCTTAATACTGTATTTTAGATTTGCCCAGCAACTTCTAAGGCAGTCAAATTATCTTTAGAAGCATCCACCGTTTTCATGATTGTCGTAAAAGAGTACCTGTAACAAGCCCAAAGCAGCCCCCAACTCAGGGCTAACGCTCTTCTCTATCTCTATTCATACCCATAGCCCTTAAAGAACAACCATGAACACGTTTATCCACAACTGTCTCCTAAAAAGCCATCTTTTTATTTCTGTTCTTCTTACAGGCATTTTTGTTCTCCATAAATAATTTTTTGAGAATGCCACGAAGCGACCACATGAGCCTGTGGACAATATCTCTTGTACAAAAGCACAAGCAGCTGCACGGTGCGTCTCCGGTGACGTGAGAGGCAGGGATGGGCTCCTGGCCTGATGGGAGGGTCTCCCTGGACCAGCAGTGGCCGCTGGATGGGGTCTGGAAGTCGGCCCTACCTGCTGAGTACCCTGTGCACACAAACCTCCCCTCGTCCCAGAGGCCGTTCTCGGCGAGTGTCCTGAAGAAGAGCCGCCTCAGGAGAAGGGGAAGCTGTGCTCTGGCCATGGTGGACAGCTGGCCCCCGGGCCATGCAGTGTCCGGGCACAGCTGTCCCCAAGAGGCACACGAGGCAGGTGTGGGGGGAGGGAGACCCCCGTTATTTGGACGAGGAGCACTCGGCACCCCCGGGAGCGTCACCGTGTGGGAGCCCCCCCTTCCCGCCGAGCCCCCCGTGCCCTGCGGATCGCGGTGCGGGGTGTGCCGGCCGGTCTCTGCCCCTTCCTCCTGGGCCACACTCCGTGTCTCCCGGGCTCTCTGCCCCTGGCCCCTGGGCCTCCTCCTGCTCCCCATCCTCCGAATCGGAGTCGTCGTTGTAGAAGTGGATGGTGGCCTGCACCGGGAAACTGGCCAGCACTTTCTCCCCGGAGCTCTGCAGATATTCTCGGCGCTTTGAAATGGGCAAATAAAGCCTAATGTTTCAGAAACAAACACAGCGTCAGTCAACCTGGGCCCGTCTGCACCCCGCCTGGAGGACCTCTGTCCGAAGGAGCTAACCCCCCCCCACACACACACACACACATACACACACTAGTCCATGAACGAGCTGGCAGCTGAGTGAGCAAATCCACTAGGAAAAGGGTGGCTTCCGCGGAGGGAAAAGGAAAGGAAAACACGGTGTGTGTTCAGGACTAAGAGGCTCCCTGTGACCGCGTGAGACAGCCCTCCTGGTCCTGCTCCGGGAGGCCCTCCCGTGGGGAGTGTTGTGGCCCGTGGGGCTCTGGAGGAAGCTTGACTCTGAAACCCTGGCCTACAGGAGAAGCAGCTAAGCTTCTGGATGTTGCCATAGAGAAGCTATAGGGGCGGGTCCCTCACTTTTCCAGAACAGACAATGGCAGCCTGGCTAGTCGCCCCGTAGGAAGAGAGAGGGAGAAAGGGGAAGGGAAAGGGGACCGGAAGGGAAAAGGAGAAAGCAAGCAGGATCCCATTTGGGGGACATTTTGGTATAAATATATCTGTGTATTTAAAAAGGAAAGGAGATACCCTAACGGGCCTGGCTCAGTGGGTAGAGCTTCGGCCTCCAGGGACTGAAGGGTCCCTGGTTCGATTCCGGTCAAGGGCACATGCCCAGGTTGCAGGCTTGATCCCCAGTAGGGGACATGCAGGAGGCAGCCAATCAATGATATTCTTTCATCATTGATGTTTCTATCTCCCTCTCCTTTCCTCTCTGAAATCAAGGGCTCGATTCCCATTGCGGGGTGTGCAGGAGGCAGCTGATCGATGTTTCTTACTCTCTATCCCTCTCCCTTCCTCTCTGTAAAAAAACAATAAAATATTTTACAAAAAAAAAAAGAGTTGCGAGCCAGTGACAAACGTGACCAGATGCGAAGAATGATAACGATGATTGAGGCCAGTGCTGGCACCGGGCACGCGCTGCACTGTTCTCTCCACTTTCCTGCCTGCCCGAAATTTCCTGTAATAAATGTCTATTCAGAAACATCAGTAGGCCACCCCAGTCACCGCGCTTTCACTGAGTCTAAAACTGGGGAGCAGTAGCAGAGCGTCTGTCGGGGGCAGGCCCGGGCAGGTGGGGCCGGGGAATGCACACAGGGCATGAGAGGGTGGTGGTCTTGCCCCAGTGGGATCGCCAGCAGAGCCTATAAGATATACCTAGGCCTGCCCCCAGAACAGGTGTGTCAGACCCCAGGGAGCCACCCGGCGTCTGTGATCCCACGAGGATGAAAGATCACTGACAGAAGGGCCTGGGAAAGCTTCCCTTGTCCAGAGGCCATGCCCTGGCCGTCTGAGGGGCTGTAAGGCCTCCTCTAGCAATTAGTACCCGGGGTGCGACCCAAGCCTCCCGTCTCCCGTGCTCAGCAGGTAAAAATGCTCCAGTGAGAGGTCGGCCTAGGCTTATTCCGGTGAAGGAAATGGGAGACAGAGAGAGATGGAGACAGAGCAACCGATAAAACCCTGAGCGTGAGCACCTGCTTCAGGCTGGAAGTTAGAGGGATACGCAGTGAGGGTCTTGATTCCGCCGGGACCCCGAAAGCAGAGGCACAGCTGCGGGCGCATCCACCCAGCCCTCATTCAGTCTCCACGAACACTTTCCAGGCCTACTTTGCTCTAGACCAGCGGTTCTCAACCTTCCTGATGCCGCGACCCTTTAATACAGTTCCTCATGTTGTGGTGACCCCCAACCACAAAATTATTTTCGTTGCTACTTCGTAACTGTAATGTTGCTACTGTTATGAATCGTAATGTAAATATCTGATATGCAGGATGTATTTAGGAGCCCCCTGTGAAAGGGTCGTTCGACTCCCAAAGGGGTCGCGACCCACAGGTTGAGAACCACTGCTCTAGACAATACACTAACATATCCTGGGGGAGAAATAGAAATGTACCCAAAGAGG